GTGATTCTACTTACTCATACACAACGATAAACTTCATTAAACTTATAAAACTCATATACACATAAAAAAAATATATACGTATAATATAAATGTCTGACAGAAAATATGTAACGTAATGGATAACAGTTTTATATTGGACATGTGAGGAAGGATTAGGGAAAACACGCAGAATGCAAATACGACGTAATTACGTCATCAATATGCAAATATACGCATGGCGTCATCTAGCGACATTTGGCGACTTTTCGAGCAGACTTTAGCTACTTTCCATTGAAAATAGTTGGCAACACTGAGCCGAAGACAAGAGCATGGTTTCAAGGTAAGACGAATAATAATACATCATATTTGAAATACATTTTATAGTTTATTATAAGGTTTGTTTGCTGAGTAACGTTTATTATCCGCTGTGTAAGTTAACGAGGCGCCGACGACATCAGTTAACTTAATGAGATTAGAGAGATCAATTCGCACTTCAGACAGTTAACGCTATACTTCATCTGTGCTAGTATTACATGCACATACCACGTATGTAAGTTATTATATTTAATTTACGATGCTCAGATATTTTGCTAATATGGGGAAGTAATGTTAGGTTAGCTGTTTGTGAGTTAAATTTAGTTGAAATGGAATAGCCAGCTCATATACTTTCTTCAGAATAATGTTATTTAGATCGGTTGCTGATTTTAATGTGCAGGTATGATAATGGATATTTTTCATTAGGATAAATATGTTTCTAACTGGATCAGATGTAACCAGACTGTAATATTTTTGCACAGGGTCAATTAAACATGAAAAGAAAGGGCGAAATATCAGACTTCTTTATAAAGAAGCACAAACAGGCAGATCAGGTTCAAACAGACCCTACCCTTTGCACTGGATCCCACAGCAGCTCCATACCTGAGACTAGTTAGAGTCAGTGTGGTCAGACTTCAGATCCACCAGCAGGTCAGAGCATCTACCAGGCAATCACATGTTTCATACAATGTTAGAATTTAAGCTGAGCTTCAGGAAAGTTCAACTAAAAAAATCAAATCCTGTCATTACTTATTAACTCACAACAAAGTGAGTAGATGATGAGTAAATTATTATATTTTCATATTTTGAATTATATGTTGGTAATGAAATAGATTTGGGTTTTCTAAACACTTTCATTGTGTTTGTGTGTGTGTGCATCTTTGTGACATATCAGGATACAAATTTGTATAATGGTATGAGTATGACAGGTATTTCAGGAGAAGGTGACTTATGAGGACATTGCCCATGCCCCCATTTTTCAAAAGGCTTATAAATATTTTTAAATGTTCCCTGTGAGGGTTGGATTAGGGCAATAGAAAATAGTTTGTAGAGTATATAAACAATGGAAACCTATTGAATGTCCTCACAATTCACAAAAATGTGTGTGTGTGTGTGTGTGTGTGTGTTTTCACTATTCTATGAGAACTAATGGACTGTGTTGTAAATAGATGTATCAAAGGATGACACAGAGACCTCTGGCTCTGAGCAAGACAGTGAGCCAGAGCTTACAGAAGATGTCATCGAGCCCCTTCCAGCTGCATCAGTATTTTTTGTTTGGTTGTTTTTTCTTTATGCTAATGTTTTTTGCAAATAAAACTTTTCAATTCCTTAATTTATTATTTCAACTTTATGAGTACAGTGCGTGTGTGTGTGGACCCCCTGAAATACAAGTGGCCACCCCATGTAAAAAATTGTAGCTCCACCACTGACTGTAAAATACTGGGAGTGGAATAAAAAGGATACCTGGTAGCTTGAACTTTTCATAGTATAATCATAATAATTTTGTTTTTACTTGTAGTTCGTCCACAGAGCATCAATGGAGCGTCAACAGAGTATTGGCAACTGTTACACACTATGTGCCTCAGCACTCAGTGACCCCGTTCTGCTCTGTCACTTCATGGCTGAGTTTCTTTTGTTCTTAAATGCTTCCACTTTGTATTAATACCACTTACAGTTGCCCATGAAATATCTAGCAGGGAAGAAATTTCAGAAACTGACTTATTGCAAAAATGGCATCCTATGACAGTACCACACTTGAATTCACTGAGCTCTACAGAATGACCCATTCTTTCACAAATGTTTGTAAACCTGACTGTACATCTAGGTGCTTGATTGGGCCTGAATGAAACACTTGAATTCATTTATTAAGAGATGTATCCCAATACTTCTGTCCATATAGTGTAACTAAAGTTACATTACACCACATATAGGCTATTGTCTGTGATGCATTTGGCCTGAATGTATGATTTCCACTGCTTATATTGAATAATTTCATATAAAATGTAAACCAAGGCAGTGAATTGCCTTCATATAAGCATGAATAACTGGGAAACTAAGCCACTACTGTGTAGTAGGTTGTTAGCTTGTTGCTCCACCTGAGTCTGGCCACCACAGCTAACGGCTGCTCCATCAGCACCAAGCCTCACATTGGCATTGTTGACAGGAGCAGCGTCGCCATCTTGGTGTGGGTTGCTAGTCCTTTATTATTCTCCTTATAGAAAATGAACTGATGTAGTGGCCATGTGGTAGATAACAGTGTTAGAGTTTATATTTACACTTAGACAAAACAAACACACAGAGCGAGACAACAGGCACACGCCAACCGACTCTTTTATTCCCACTTCACACATCGATGTACAGATGGAATAAAATCATAAACAGCACCGCCAATGGCATGCAGGCATGAATAATCGATTTTCCACGTTACACATCGTTTAGTTAGGTCTCTTTGCCATTGTTTCTAAAACGTTTTTAATGAACAACCACTGTACCGTACCTGGCTTGTTTCAGGTCAGTATGTGATCACTACCCCCACAGGCCATCAATAAGCTCAAAGTCAATTAAAGAGCACAACAAGGCATAAAAACACACAATTCTCATGAAACATAAAGACTTTTAAAATGCAATTTTCTTTCTTTTACATTTTTCACATGGTTTGAAAATTTCAGAGTTTCCAATTTTGCTATCAGAAAAGACTCTTTGATTGGTGATTCTTGTTAAAAAATGACCAATTAATACATATTTAAACCAATTTGAAAATATAACCAAGAACTCTGGGATTGTAAGTGAAGGACTACTACAAATACTATAAATAAAAGCATGTTTTATTCAGAATATGGTTATGATTTGTTTAAACCAATTGAGCGTCAAATATGTAATAAACACATTGACAAAAAAGTGAATTTGAACTTTAAGATTCAATTTATTCTTTTGCCTTGATATTATGAGCTAGTTTTTCTTCGGTGATAGATGTATCAGGACTGATCCTGTTTCTAAGAAAGAATTATTGTTACTGCTAAGTGAGGCAGAGTGAAGACAGATTTTCTTCATGGTGTTTTGCAGTTCATGATTTATGATACGTTTTTCAGGAGACTTATTTGACTATCTTGTGATTTACTGACTATTTTTATCCTTAACATTTATAAAAAAACTAAAGTAAACATGTTATACATGTAAAGATTACATACAGCCATGGAAAAAATTAAGAGACCACAGCACAATTTTTTGTTTCACTCATTTCTCAATTTATGGATGTGTGTTTGTGAATAATATATATTTTTCTGCAAACTGCAGCCTGGCTTTTCCCTGCTTCTCATTAATGAAGGGCTTATTCCTGCTTTATGGGATTTCAGTCCTGCTTCTAGGAGCCTGATATGACCAGTCCTATCAGTGCACTTCACACTTGCATTTAATGTTTCCCAATCCTTTTGAAGGTCACTTGATGTCATCCTATGATCAGAAACTGTCGAATAAGTTAACAGTCATCTCTGGCATTAGAAAGTTGGTTCTACCCTTTGCCTGACTGGTTTATGGTCATTCCCAGTGTCTCCTGCTTCACCTTACTCTTATGTACTGCTGTCTTAGATATTTTGAACCTGGATGTGACCTGCTGCTCAGTGTAGCCTTCAGCCAGCAGAACCAGGATTAAACCAGGATTTAAAAATGCAGATTTGTTTAAAACTATAGAGTGGTCTCTTAATTTTTCCACTGCTGTATGTTATGCATGTATATGACCTGTTGCATCACTGAATCAAGGTATTAAAAAGCAGAAAATAAATTGTAATATGTGGAATATTACTGCTAAATAGCAAGCACATGATTGAAATGCGTATATGTAACGTATATGATTTGAACAATGTACCTTTCAAAAATCCTCGCCATAAATGATTTATGTGATAAAAAGTGAAAGTGCCTGAGATTCACAAAGGGAGTTTAACTGTTTGTCACAGTCGTCATCAAACCAAACACCATCCCTTGAATGGAAGTAGACGCAGTCAGCAGTTCTTCTGGGGATCCAAGGCTCAGTCCTGTCATTAGGTTCTCCAATTGCCCAGAAACTAGAAAATAAAAGTATAACAGTATCACAGTACAATCTCCGGAACAAATGAGAAATTATCAAGTGATTACACTGATAGCAGCATTGCAGTTCAGATATACAACCTTTGCCGTTAAAATTCAGCAGCTTTGAAGGAATTTGGATTATTATCTCAATTGTTTTGGGATTAAAACACATCTGTTCAGTTTTTTTTTATTGATCTCGAATCAACGTGTTACTTTGTTGTTGTCTTGTGCCATAGATATTCCAGTATCCATTGTTACCATTCTTCAGAATGTTAGCTGTTACATGGGGGCCCACTCTATATTCCCACCTCCCTGTATTTTCTCATTGACATTTTCTATGAAACAGCCCTACTTTCCCTCAACTCCTTGTCCCCTCTGTAATTTTTGAGACAGCTCTACATTCATAGGTCTCATGATCCCGGGGTTAGGGGTTATACCCCAAGACCACAAATACAGACCCTGCCACATGTTCCCTAAATGCATCATGGGGTTCTAGGAACAATTAGTCCCCGGGAACATGAAGCTCTCATCATAATTCTGCTCCTTTCTCACTACAGCATAAACTTTTCTGCACTCCAAAAGAAAACCATGACATTCTGCATGCAACAGACAAGATTCCCTCCCACCTTTTCTTCAGTTCAGCACCATTCACCCAAAGCCAGTATCCTTCTCGTTTTCTATCAGTCAGACCAATCCAGGAATTCCCATCTTTTATGAAAGTTTTAATAAACTCCTGAAAACACGACACAAGCATAAATACACAAGCTTAATCACTCATATAACCAGTATTTCATGGAAATTACTCCCACATACCTGTTCCTCTTGACTCTCAATCACCGCCAAATTACCTCCATGTTCACTACAGTATGTTTTACTTTCTTCCCAATTTTTCTTAATTCGAAATTGATAATAACACTTATCATTGAATATGTTCCATCCCTTGGGACATGGAGTGCAGGCTTTTCCTGCAAAGATAGGTCAGCAACATTGAGTCACATCTAATTAAAAAGTAGTTTATTTCCAAAAAGACAAAATTTTCAGCCCAAGGACATCAGTCCAAGAGTAGCTACACCTACCTGGTTTACAGTATTCTTTCAGGAAGGGTAATTTATTTAACAGAATGTTGAATTCCTGCTGATAGTAGTCACCCAGGGTGGAATTATTTTCTTGTAGCTCATCCCTCAGTTTATTGTATTTTCCCTGTAGCTGATTCATTTTAAAAGACAGTATATTATACTCATTCTGTATCTGACTCTTGTTATAAACCAGTGTATCATATCTATTCTGTAGCAAATTATTGCTATTAGTCAGAATATTGTACTTTTTCTCCAGTTGGTCCTGGTCATTAGCTAACATTTTGTACTTTTTCTCTAGTTGGTCCTTGTCATTATTGCAGTTGTCCTGTAGCTGTTCCTTCTCTTTAGACAAGAAGCTGTTATCTTCCTGTAGTCGGTCCTTTTCTTTAGCCAGGATGCTACATTTATTCTGTATCTGGTCGTTCTCTTTAGCCAGGATGCTGTAGTTTGTCCGGAGCTGCTTCAAATTATCTTCCATTATTGACCAAGTTTGATTTCCTCTATGTACTGTATGTAATTAGAAAATATGTTGAAATGCAAGCATTAATACAGACTTATTTTCAAGTGCTAGTCAGCTGGTCAGCCAGCAAAAAATGTGTCAGGATTTCTCTACAGACACAGATACCAACGGTGAACTAAACTCAGTGCAGGAACACAGAGTCTAATAACGTGTCATATGTCCATATAGGTACAAATGATGGTTGATACTCACCATGAACACTCAGGAATATGATGATAATGAATAGCAGTAAAAACAGCAGCCCTAGACCCAGAGAAAACAGTCTGTACCGAGAGTAGCTGTTTTTTGTTGTCCATTCTGTTTCTGTTCCAGGGAAAACAAATTTGGAAATGCATCAAGTTTCATCGTAAACTCATCACAAGCAGAAAGCAACAGATTTACTCTCATTTACTCCCTTGACTACATTTCCCTTGGGTCAGTGCGTCTTAAAATGGGAGAGTCTTCAGTAGCTGACTATTTCAGCCAGCTGTGTAGCTGGACGTAAATTGAACGCTCCTTAACCTGCATCACCTGCACCAACCTCTGGCCCAGTACAAAAAAATACTTCAGGGCTACATTTTATAGGATATTATTCCACTTGAACGCGGAACTTGAAAGTGAAGTGATGCTTTATTTTCTATTCGTATGTGTACGAGTACAGGTGC